CTCCACCAGCATGTGACAAGCATGTGCCTCAACTTGGGTTGTATTTTTACCTCTTCAAAAATAAAGTGCCTACTGTGCTCTGTTCATATTGTAGCCTGGTATGCAGTTTTTATTTTCAGCTTCCTACAGTGTCCTTTGGGAGTCTGGAAGTGAATGTAAATCAAGAAAGCAGTTTCTATTGTGTCTCACAGCTGAAATTAAGCTGTCATAGAACCAGTTAGAACTGCACCCCCAAGAAATGGGTTGTGTCCAAGATGCTCAGTGTTAAAAACAAAAAAATAAAGTAATTGTTTCTAAAACTTTGCCTATGGCTTGTGCACTGCATTGAAAGGGTTGGTGGGGTGGGGAGGCAGGGCTGTCCCATGAGTGATCCTGTCCTCTAGGCATACAGCTTTTAAAACCAACCTGCTCACAGCCAGGTGCTGTCATAACTGAATTCTTCACACACTGACATTTCTTACATAAAATTGCCCATCCCTTCACCCTCCCATGAGAGCTGGAGGACCAGGGGCAGGTTACAACCCCAGCTGCCAAGGCAACTTCCCAGTGGTGTGGGCTCAAGCAACGCTCACCCTGTCCTTGAACTCCTGTTTCCTCATCATCTACCTGCTCTTTGTCTCAGGCTCCCCTGACTCACAAACACCTGCTTGCTGCTAGAAATACACAGCCTTCCTCTTATGCTGTGCCCTGTGGCTGAGATATTTTGATTTACCCCTGTCTTTCACAGAAGGTGCAACAAGAAGTAACCACCCTCCATCTGCAGATGGGAAACAGGGCTGGGGACTGGAAATTAAATTAGACAGTGAGTTAACATCAACAAAATGTTGAACTTTAGGGCTTCCTAAAGTTCACACAGTCTGTGTTCAGAGTATTCCTGACTCCACACAATCTGTGGCCAGAGTACTTGCTCAAGGCATCCTTCCCTCCTGTCAGAGTCATTTATTTACCAGTTACAGACCAAGTCTGTCCAAGGCAGCTTAACCCACTGACCACGCACAAGACCCCCAGGGCTGATGGATTAGCTGTCCCCTGAGCCCTGTCATTTCAGACTGGCTGCCAAACAGGAGTGACCCAAGCTCATTTCATAATACCACCAAAGAAAAGCATTGTTATTTGCAATCTGTGTCAGAGACAATAAAAAAGGTACACTGGTGTACCACAAAAGTTTAGAACTTAGCTGTGCACGTTCCAGAGAGTGACTTGAAACTGCAGAGCAATGACAGTGCCTTCCTTGCAGCGTGTGCCCTCTGTGCTGTGCCACATGAACATCAGGCAAGGGGATTTTGCTCTTTCTTCAGGTCAATGCAAGGAAAAAAATTCAGTCAGAGCTTTAGGCTTCAGGCAATAGCAGTAAATCACAACATGCAATTCTCACATTCGAGGTGCAACTTCACACTTGTTGAAAGGCTCTATTACAGCAAAAATTAACAAACTTGTTTTCTGGCGTAAGATGTAGGATGTGACTTTGCAATGTACATTGAAAGCACCACACCAGGGCACAGAGAGTTCTGGCAGCACAGATGAGAAACAATCAAGTGATAAATCCAATACTTATCAAGTTTATAAGAATCAATTAATTACCTGCAGTGTATGACCCACTGCAAACTACATATGCTTTTGCTATTTACCAGTGTGGTTTATTCTGCCAAAGGATAATGGTATCCCATGTTTCAGGGTTTGATTTCCATTGATATTGCTGGCAATAGGAACAAATGGGGGGACAAAGGTAATCTGTGAGGTTTCACTGTCACTCTTGGTCACTGTTGTGTATAATACCCCAGCACGACTGAATGGTATTTAAAAAAATAATAGTAATTATTAAGAGGAAACACTGATGTTCACTACTAAGTTTTCTGCTCTGTCAAAGTTTGAAGCAGCTGCCCAGCTCAGGGTCGAACGGGCAGGGCAGGAGCACCCAGGTGGCACACGTGGATTGATTCTCTGCCCGCACAGAGAATGTCAGAGGCAAGCTGTCAGCAGCAGAAGGCTCGTCTCACTCACACGGAGTGACGGAGGGCAGCTGCTCCCCGCCCAGCAGAGCTGGTGTGCAGCACTCACTGCTCTCCCTGCGCAGGGTCTGCCTTGCTGTCAATTGCTGCAAATTAGGAAAGGAGGGGGTTTATTTATATAACAGGAGCTGGCACCAACTGCTTTTTCCAGAGTAAAGGTTTGTGATTTCTTTGACAATAAGGAGCCTTGCTCTATTTTTCATTTTCTTAAAGCACGTGATGTCAATAAAGCACTGCACACAAAATGGAGTTTACAGTAGTTTACACCAAGTGTTCCCTAATGGCTTTTAGAGGACTTCTGCAGCTGGGGAAGCACGACTCCGACTTTCACTCCCCCTAGATTCCTCCTGCCTGCTGAGAGGCTGAGCTCTGCTAAGGATCCTGCTCAACGAGAGCTGCTCCACAAACCTTTCTGCAGCACCTAAGCCCCTCCACTTCCGTTTTCACTGACCGATTGCTTTTGCAGCAAGCTTGAGAGGGAAAAAGACGAGCTTTTCACGTAACAGCGCTCTCATTTTAACAAACCGCGGGTTTGGCCGCAGCAAACCCTGGCAGCGCTGAAAGAACAAAAGCCGCGTTATCCTCCATAAGAGACCTCTAAAACACACCAGAGCCCCACTAACTGAGCTAATCTTGATCTATTTTTCACCAGAAAATTCAGTCTCCGTAGAGACTGTCAAAAATTGCCAATGCCGACTATATTTCAAGTCGTCATGGCGGGGTATTCCCGGCCATGCCCCCCGCCCGCCCCGCGCCCCCCGCGCTCCGCCGGCACCGGGGCGCTCCGCTCTGCCCCCCGTTCTGCACCCCCGGTACGCCGCGAAGGCTGCCGGGAGGGAATATGCAAAGTAGGCGTGACGTCACGCGCAGCCCCGCGCGGAACGGGGGCGCCTCTCCGCGCATCCCCGGCGAGCGAGCCCGGGCACCGCGGGCCGTGAGCCCCGGGCAGCCCCGGGAGCCCCAGCCCGGCACGGGGCCTGGCCGAGCATCCCCGCCACCTGCTCCTGCCAATGACGGGGATTAATAAAGTGAGCGCGCTTTTGGATAAGCGTTCGGTGTCTTTTATTTCCAAAGGTGCTGAAGGAGAAACGCTCAGTGAAACCAGACGTGGAGTAACCAGATGCCGAGTGACCCCCGCTCTGAGAACATGGACCCTTAGATCTGAGATTCTGAGAGCAAGATCCCTAGATCTGAGATTCTGAGAGCATGGACCCTTAGATCTGAGATTATGAGAGCAAGACCCTTAGATCTGAGATTCTCAGCACAAGACCCTTAGATCTGAGATTCTGAGAACACGGATCCTTAGATCCACGTTCACTTTTCTGTGCACATCTATCTTTTGATTACACACAATCCGCCTCCGTAGAGGCTCTCAAAAATTGCCAGTGCCGACTATATTTCAAGTCGTCATGGCGGGGTATTGGGAAAAGTTTTCAATTAGCAATAATCGCGCCTCGGAACACCCTCATCGGCTACGATACTGCCACTGCGCAAGGCTGCCGAGCCCCGGCGCGGTGCCGGGCCCGGGGCCGCCGCGCCCCCGTTGGGTCAGAGCGGGCGCGGCCGCTCCCGCCGCCGCCG